CAAAGTGTCTGACGGCGAGAAAACTATATTGATTTAGTTAACAGCATTATACTCCAATATTGAACCAGTGGTATTCAACTACGGCCAATTCTTTTCTGTATTTTCCAATCAGAACAGCCATGTAATTCAACTGTACAGTAACTCTAACCGAACCCATATAAGATGAACTCGCCCAGAGACGGACAAACAGGTGGTCCATCCCTTTAAGTTTCAGTGTAAACAACTATTAACACTACAGTTTCATGAGGCAGTTTTGGTAACCCACTTACATAAAAGATACGAATGCTGGAAGCATAATCAAGGTGAACATAGAGAATTCTGATAGTGTGCTCAAACGTTTTCTTTCCCGTTTTTTCTTCCTTTTATTGAATATATGATGATAATTTTGAGGAAGAGTGGTGGTGGTCGCCGTTATCGTCGGATTCGACCAAGTCGCCCGAGAGATAATTCGGCTACCTTTACCACTCGGTCACTCGTACAGCTGTCTGTCTATGCAAATGACAAACATTTTTCCATAGGAGAAAGAAAAATGTAAAAATCGGGATTTGGTCTTTGTGTTTCAGATGAGCACTACACACAATTCTGCCAGGTGGAATATGAAAGAAGTGCCTAAAATTGAATTAATGAAGACGCTCAGACCGCACGGACTTCTCATCATCTCCCAATGCAATCCTCCTCTCCAGATTTATGATTGATATCGTCAAAGAAAAAGCTGCTCCCAAGTGCAAACATATCCGGTTTGCGGAACTAAGAAACACGTACCCGAAAGCCTAGAACTCCGAATATGATGATGATCAATTACTGAGAACAAGGCTGTTCACTAAACTGTATTTTATTTGAACCCATGTTTCGTATAACTGCTCTCGTACGACTGAACAATGCGAGAGTTGACACGACAGGATAATAACGATCCAACAGGCACATGGAAGATGGCCAGGGTTTTATCTACCAGTAAAGTAGAGCACTCAAGTGAATGGGAGTTTTCGGCTATTATCAAAAGTGATCACCAAATATTTCAAGTAATTATTGGAACCGATATGTACAAAAATAATATTTTATTTCAAAGCCAGTGGTTCGCTCCCTATTGCTAAAAGCGTGTATAGTTTTGGTTTCAGGATTCAATCAGCAGTAAACCCTCAGGCACATTTCACACTGTTGAAGAATGAATTCCATTACTCCAACGCCTGAAACATGTGCTTTCCGTTTCCATTTTTACAAGCATTCACCTGACACCTACGTACGGTGGTTATGGTTGCTTGTTTAAAACGCACGTGTGATTGCTCCCCACATTCAATCCAGCCCTCTGATTATTCACGAAATTTGGTAAGGTGTTGTCAATCGCCGATATAAAGTACTGCTGACGGCTGTCTTCGTTACATTGAGAAGTCTCTGTGGAGGACTCCACACGTTCCACGATGAACTTGATATCATGTAGCGCATTGCCAATGTTCAATTCGTTCTCTGGTGAGGAAAACAAAGAAACATTAATTAAATGGTCATTTATGTATCAATTAATTTGCAGTGGCATGAAAAAGTAAGTGTCGAATCATGACAGCAATCTTTTTACTTCCTTTTTATTGAATATATAGAAATACGCAAAACTTTCAATAAGTTGAAGGAGTTGAAGTCATGAGGGTGCTCTGGAGGTGATTCCTCGAGAAAATCATTTTCCTGGGGTTCGGGGTATCAATCTCATCCTGAGAAACGGTCTCTGTGAGAAAGTACATGGTGGGGAAACCGAATCACTCTCTGAGCGTGGCGAGGGTATATTCGCGACAGTGAGTGAAAAGCCCAAATGATCGATCCCGGGAAGCTATTTAATCAAAGGAGTGGGAAGACCCTGATTCCAAATCTACCAACCGGCCCCGGGACACCCTGGTAGCGATGTTCATTGATAAACTCAGGCGATAGGGCATATTGGGCACCCTGAACGTGTGCATGCTGCCGGAAGCAGTCATCATCATCATTGTGCAGCGAAATACAGTGAGTATGC